AGCGTTAAAAGAAATAGCCCTTAATTCCATCATTTTTAATGCTATCCCTAAACCAGATATTGACTTTAGTTTTTACCAATCAAACCTAATGAGTGTTAATGATATACTGGTAATGTCAAAAGATATATTATCATTTGAAAAAAATATAACACTTTATATGACGCTTAAAAATATTGAAGAAATTGAGCAGTTGACCAAAGGACAAAATAAAAAAAAATGCTGGTATGAATATAAAAAAGGTGTTATAACAGCTTCAAAAAGTTATGATGTTTGGACAAAAATGAACAAATTAAATAAAATTGATGCCGATATGTGGGAATCAAATCAACGTATATCTAGCATGTCATTTGTTAATTCAAACATACATGCAATTAAGTATGGCAGGGAAATAGAACAGAATGCTGTTAACTGTTTTTATCAAATTTTTAAAATCAATCATAAAGGTGTAGCAATGCATGATTGTGGGTTATTTTTAGATAGAGATATTCCTTTCATTGCCGGTAGTCCTGATTGTCTTGTTACTTGTTTGTGTTGCCCACCTGCATGTCTTAAAGTTAAATGCCCATTTTCTATAAATTACTTGTCCCCACTTGATCTGAGTGTAAAACTTCCATATTTGATTAAAAAATGATGTTGGTATTTCTTTAAACAAAAATCATGCCTATTATATGCAATGCCTTGTGAAAATGGCTGTTACAAGGCACCATCATTCATATTTTATGGTGTGGACACCTCATGGAAATTTTATTGAACATATAAAATTTGACAATAACAAATGAGAAGAAATCAAGTGTAAATTTATAGACTATTACTGTAAATTTTTTTTGACTATTACTATAATATTATTTGAGCACAATTTTTATTCAACACAATTTTTATTCAACATTGGATTAAACTTGTTATGTAAACTACCAACAAGTGATTATTTAACTTATAATCAACCACAGTTTATGGCTTGTGTCATCAATATGTTGTGAATGTCTGAAAGCAAGAATGATTGGGAAAACCATTGGCCATTGTTTAATACTGTCCTCTTTAGATAACCAACTATCTAATAAGATAACTGATTACTGCATTTAACTTTGTTAGTTAAAAGATTTTTTGATATTTATCATAAAGTTTTTGGACTGCCTCAGTAGCATTTAGTACAGGCTTCATTAAAATTTCCACTGTGACAATATATGGTAGTTTGTTTTTTATTTGATAAGGAAAAAAAATATGGCTACATTTCTGGAAATTTCTGTTTTTTCCATTCAAATTCTGATTCCGGCTCATTTCAGCCTCCCCCTCCTCTTAACTTCAAAAGTAACAACTATGTCAAAACAGAGGCGGATACATATGGAAGGGGAGGGGGGCTAAGGGGGGTAATTACCCCCTTCCCCCTCTAAAAATTTCAAACTTCACAATTTTATTTATAAAATTAAAGAAATTATTAAAAAATACAAAAATGTTGCAACATGACTTATTTGCAAAAATTTAATTTATATATTAAAATTTTTTTTAATTATAACACATTTCATATATATTATAAGTAAACTAACTTAAATACATTCTTAAGGATCAAATGAAACAGTAGTTCTATCGAAATAATCGTTGTGTTGATATTATATAGCTGTTACTTTTTTATATTCCCGAAATCCCAGGATTATCCAATAACAATCCCGGCATTTCGAGGTCGAACTTGCAGGGAGGTTGGCGCCCCTCTTTGCAGCAATTGCCCTCTCCTTCTAACACTTGTCCTCTTTTTTATAAAAATCAAGTAATATATTTATTTGCTATTAAAAAGTGCTCTTTTTTATAAAACTCCCCCTCCCCTTTTCCTTTTCACAAAAATATTTCAAGATACGGGCCTCTATGGTTAAAGTTTAAAGTAAGATATACGGCATAATAAAAAAATATATTCCCTATGGACTTGTAAGCATGATATATTGTTAGGAAAGTAATTCAACGTGAAGTAAATTTTTTCTAAGTTCGTTACCTATAATTATTAGTGCCATATCAGAAAGGGGCTAGGAAAGTGCAACTTGTTGCTCTTAAGTTTAGGCCAGGGAGGCCAATATTTTAGGCCTTTTTTATTCCCAGGCTTCAACATCGCAGTCTTTTGTAAAGAATTTCGACATAATGATATTTTCATACAACCCACAGATTCCTGTGCTAACACATTACTTGAATACTATTATTTATCGACTTTAAAGTCTTATATTTCCATCTCTTGAATTATTGACCAACACAGGTTTTAAGTTACAGAGTGCAGCACAAGCCCTCACAATATCATCAACATGACGCAACATTGTTAGAGGAAAAACATTCTTTAAAATTCTATAAGTTTTCATTCTATTAATGACTCGTTCAACGTGTATTCTTAAGTTTGCTATTTTTTTAGTTTTTTTTACATTCAGATGCAATCATTTGACTTTTAAGACAAGCACCTGGAGGAATTATCAAAGTAAAAAATCTTAACAAAAGTTCTTCCTGGATATGAAATCCACGATCTGCCATGACTTCATCGTCAAGCTCTAACAAGTCATAAAAACCACTGTCTTTTGTTATAAAATTATCTGAACATCTTCCACAATAACAATCAGATACAAAAGTGATAAAACCACTAGGCAAAATTCCTACAAGAAACTTAAATGTATTGTGTTGTTTATAATCAGACCAAGTTGAGGCTTGTGCTAAGAGAGACTTGGATCGTTCAATAAAAACTTCAGCACAATCAATAATCACACAACACTTGTAATATCCTGCATTCTTAAAAACCCTAGGCAAATTTTCCCTGATGGTTTCACGTGGAAGCCATACAATAAGAGCACTACTTAACACATTGCTTATAAGTTTAATCCATGTGGAAAATATGTTAGAAGAAGTAGCAGGAGAAATTTCAAATCGTTCTGCAATGTCTTCATTAAAAATGCCAAGACGAAGTCGCATAAGTGTTTAAAAAAATTTGTCACGATGAGAAAGTTTTCTATATTTAGTTGACTGAAATCTGCGCTTTAATTTGCTAGTATTTTGAACATGTTTTGGTCTTCGCCAGTAACTAAGCATTAGAAGAAATGGTATAATAAGTAAGAAGATGGCATTAAATAAAGCTATTGTAGATATCTCTATATAAAAGTTCATTTTTTTGTCTGTTTTAACTTTGTTGCATGAAAAAATCAATAATTTCATAGTTTGATTAACTTGTTTTTGGATTAGTTGCTTCAAGGATATATTCAAGAAATTAACTTTTATAACAAGAGAATCAATCAAAGATGTTTTAGATTTACATCCTTCACACACATTTAGCAATGACTGGCTAGCATATGTATGTTCACAGCTTGGCGGTGGTAGATAAATTGCATTATCGTTATTATTACTGCATAACTCATTGATATTATCTTCAGTTGTATTAATATTATTGTCATTACATGCTGTGCTAATACCTTTCAAAATTAAAAAGTTCGATTTTGGACAACGTTTATTTAAACTTTTTCTTGGCTTAATATTAGTAGAATTATATCCCATATTTAAAGTAGGATCTGGATTAGCAATGGTAGGTGTTCCATCTACAAAATGTATTGAACATACACGATCACTGTTGCATGGATTCCATTTTTAATTATTTTTACCTTCTCTTTTTAATAAAATTTTCCACTTTTCTCTTTCTCTAGAATTTCTTAAAGAACTTGGAAAGCAGTAAAGATTGAAAGGACGATTACAACCACATTGTTCTTTTTTCAAACCTTTATGAACATTACATTCTTGTTTTTTCCACTTCAAAAGTTTATAATGGCTATTCGAACACCCTATTATTGCACAGTTACCTCTTGCCATCATGTTGAATTCAAAAGATTAGATAAATACAAATAAATACTAATTTAAATACAGATATTTAGGACATTTTTTTAACTTTTACCCACACAATTAGAGTTCAGTCCCCGCGACGCAAAATGGTAGAACTTAAGTTGGATAGCTGTATTAGAGCATGAAATTTCAAAAAAATAAATAAAAAGTTTTTATTTTTTATTTTTATTATAGTGCTTATATAATTTTTTGTAGAGAATTTTTTTCGTTTCTTTTTCCTTTAGGAATACTTTATTCGTTAATTTTTTTTTAACTTTTTTCATAGTTTAAGTTTAGATTAGCTTTTCTACATTTAGCGCAATTCTGAAATGTTTAAATCATCAAAACATATATACAATCTTGGTCAAGTTGTCAAGAAATAAAGTCTTTGTGTGTTCAGCAATAGCGCTCAATCGCACGCCATTCCTGTCCAAGCCTGATATAATGTATATAAGTAATCCTTTAAACATTTTAAAACTGTATTTAAAAGGCATTTCAAAGATATTTAAATATATGAAAATGTCATGTATTTATACTTATGTTGAACCTGAATTTGCTTAAACTATTTTTTTTTTTTTTTTTTTTTTTTTGCTTTATTAATCGCCACTTTTTAATATATATAAATATATATATACACATATGTATATATATAAATATATATATATATATACACTTACTAAAGAGTGTTTTGATAAGCATTTACTCACTTTTTCTGCTTACCTTAAGCAATACTGTTTTTTTCTAAAAAGAAGAAAAAAAAACGAAGAATGATGAATGAAACGATTGCTGCCCCATCTTAAACCCTCAGTCGATGCAGCAGCACTCCACTGCGAGTCAGGCTATTTTTCAGTCGATGTATGTACTGAAGCCCCCAGCAGCAGGCTATTTCAGTATGACATCAAATTTCTTACTTTAGTACGCAATACTATTTGTATATATATATATATATATATATATATATATATATATATATATATATATATATATATATATATATATATATATATATATATATATATATATATATATATATATATATATATATATATATATATATATATATATGGGTATAGGCTGTAAATAGAGTTTAATAAAAACAAAATAACATAAAGAAATTATTTACAACTTCACAATTAGTAAAACAATAAAGGAAAAATAAACTTTTAAAAAAATACCCAAGTGCTGTTTTTCCATTCGATGAAACCTTATTAATCTCTTCCCATGTACTGCTATGAAATATCTTCCATTGGAAGAAAATCTTTGTATAGTATACTGAGTCTACATTTGCTGGGATAAAGATGTAATCATTATAAGAAAATATATATGCTCCACCACTAGGTTGTATAATATTTATTGATGGCGTTGGAAAATCAATCTCAGAAACAAATATTTTAATTGAAATATTTAAAGTAGAAACTTCATTTTCACTAAAACAATTTACAGCGAACAAACCAAGCTTTTCATAAGAATGATTAAACTCAAAGAAGTAAATGGTTTTTGCATCAATGAAGTTGTCACGGTCTTCATTGCTTAAAATTGACAAATTAGTGAGTATAGAAAATGTTGGTACAACTTTTACTTTACTGTTATCACCAAAGTTAATATTTAAAGCTGGAAAGTCAAAATTAATATCATTTGTCAGGAGAACGAAAGATAAATTTGAAAGAGATGTTTTATAAGGTGATGATAAAAACATTTTGGGAAAGGCTTTAAATAGGGCAAACCACACATTTGAAACGTTATATAAACTTGTGTCCAATAGCGTAAGAACATTAAGTTTGAATTTACCTGTCAAACCAAGAAGAGAATGAATGCAGAAAAAAGATTGTGAGGAATTACCAGCAGCAATTTCAATGTCATTTTTATCAAAAACAAACCAAATATACAAGCAACAGCCACCTGATGATCCATTAACAACATCAACTTGTAATGGATAATCATTACGAAAGGAAAAATTCTCATAAGCATTTAATGAAAGCCCAGCAACACTTAGTGTAACACCCAAGAATTTGACATTGTTGATAACAACAGTGCTTCTCAAAACAATCATGTTTAACGCACCCTTAACAAATATAGACACAAAAAAACAACCTGGTTTTGAGTATTGATGTGTTGTAACATTGACCATTCCATCTATTAAATTGCTAAAACCAATAGGAATCCATTCTAAATTTATGAAACTGTCATTATTATAGACTTGGACATAAATTTGAAAGTTACTCATAATTTCTGAATGAAACAAGAGAGTAAAGGTTACATTTTGATCAGGCCACATTAAATTATTTTCATGTATCATTGAAACAGAATTAAGTAAAGTCACAACCTCAATAGAACCAAAGTATACTTTTTCTGAAACTTCATTATATATAACAAATGAGTAGTTATAAACACCAACAGCAGTATAATTGTGGGCTATCTCAATAATATTATCTGAACCAACAATAGACACTTTTGAACCATCTCCAAAAGAAATATTTCCAAAAAATCTTGTAATATTACTTGGAAGAATTGAAAATTTAAAAATGACTTGAGATCCAACACTCCACAAAACTGATGACTGTGACAATACTCCACCAACTGCTTCTATTATACATACATCTATATTTGACTCATGTTTGCTTACAAAATTAAAAAGAGATATGGTATAGAAGTTAACCCCAGTTGTTTTATAGTCAGAAAGCAAAAAGATAATTGAAAAATTTCTTCCACTAACATCCACTGATGGAGAGAGAACAGATAAGTTCGTTACAACAGAAGCACCTATATGAAGCATCATGTTTACATCACGCAAAATAAATAATATTTTAAAACTGTCTCCATATAAAATGCAACTAGAAGGTTTAACAATACTTTCAATTTGAATCTCTACTTGAACATGTGCTAAACTCCATGATTCCAAATATCCATAATTACTCAAGCAGTTAATTGACACATTAAAGTCCCCAACACTTGTAAAAAAATAACTATATACAACTGGTTCTTTTATGATTGCCATTTTATTTGCATCTAAGACTAAATTGCACTCAATGAATGTAAAGTTTATTTTAAAAATCACATAAATATTGCTTGGGTTTCCCAACACAGCTGAATTTACAAACAACATTATGTTATTCAAAGTGCTATTTTTTGTTTCAATAACAAACACATTTTTTCTTTCTAGTTGAAGAAAGCTCACTGTATTATTTAGTAAACAAACCAAATAATATTGATCTGATTTAAAAAAAGTGTGCTGCAATGCATCAGAATTACAAGGTTGGGATTCACAAAAGCTAAATGTAACAGAGTAACTTGCTATAATTAGTTTATTTTGAGTAACTATGTCTAATTTTCCCTGAACATTTGTCCCACTTATAATAGTGATTGTAATATTTACTATTTGATTAGTATAAACTATAGTGCCAAAACTGATATCCATAGTAACAGGATTTATATTGATACTTGCATTAACCAATGGGTCGTTTGCAACCAAGTTACAAGTTTGTAAAAATTGGTTTCCCAATGGATTAGATGCCATAACTCTTATCAAATGTTGTCCAGAGTTATTAAACTGTATAACAAGATTGGTATAAAAAGGAGCTTTTGCATTTTCAATAAGTAAATATTCAAAATTAAATTCTCTAACTGAAATATTAACATAGTCTCCATTGCTAAAAGATAGAGCAATCGTATGATTTATATTCGTTTTTATGTCAGTGTTCCCACAAGACACAGAAAAATTTATTAATTGGTTAATGGCTTGAACAATAATGCTAGTCGAAAGTTGACTAACTGGATTGAAACCAATAAGAGATACATTGTATGATCCAGACTTCGTGTATATATGTTGAATTTTAGAAGAGTTTACAAAAATGCTACCATTTTCATCACCAAAATTCCATTCATACACAACATCTGTACCACCTGTAATAAAACATTCAAAAGCTGCTTCTGCATTCACTTCAACATAGTTAGTTGTTTTTAAAGATAGCTCTTTTATTATATCATAAACATGGATATAAAACGTTTTTTGCACCACACTAACTTGATTAAAGGCAACAACAATACATGAATATATACCAGCTTTTGTAAAGTATAAAAAGACATCACTAATTGTATTTCCATTGTCCAATGTTTTATTAATGTCATTTATATATGTTCCATTTAAATCCAGAGTTAAGTTAACATCTGTTCCACTGTAGCTGATTAATCGAATCAATATTGAAGAATTAGAAAAGGTATTAAAACTACCAGATATCTCCTTTTGGATAAAACTGGTTGTATTGTAAAAAATTCGGAGTTCTTGAATGCTGTCTAAAACATTAACCATCACAGTTGCATTACAAGGAACAGTTGAATATTCATAGCAAACAGATTTTAATCCATCTATTAACACTGACACAACAACTTTATGTTGGCCTGCAGAACTAAATTTCCAGTATATTTCATTTGTATTAACTGAATAACTTTTATTATCAAAATCAAATAAATAGGTTATATTAGAGCCACCTTTAGAAGATAAATTAAATGCAGCCTCCTGATCTGTTAGAACCACCTGTGTCAAAGGGAAAACAACAAAAACACTTAGTGTATCTACAACTGCAATAGTCAATGATGCAGAACCATTCGAATAACCATTAGTAGCAAAAACAATGATAGTAAAATTTCCCGTCTTATTGCTATACAACGATGCAACTGAACCATTAGTATCCAGTATTTTAAATTCATCAGACATCCATATGTAATCCAAGTCCCCCCCTTCATTATGCACAGTGAAAACTCTGATTACGAAGTTGGAAAAACATTTAGAATTTGGTTGAATATTTATTTTGAGCCCTTTAATATGCTCATATACTTCTGAAATTAAATATAAAGTAAAATATCCAACACTAGTAGAAACTTTGCAAGAAATATTATACTGACCACTAAAATTAAACCTATTTTCAATAAAATTTACTCCTCTATACATATAGGTACTATTGTTATTAAAAAACCAGAAAAACACCCAACTTGTAAAATTCCAATTCATTTTAACAACTGAATTTGCTTCAATAATGAATTGATACAGGTTACCAACAAACATTTTAGTCGGTCCCTGTATCCAATATCCTGCTTCAACTATTACATAAGTATTGTAGGTTTCAAAAACAATGTCATATATTGCAGTAACTGTGATATTGTAGATACCAGATTCTACATAAATGTTTGAATATATATTATCTAACTCTGTAAACTGAGCATAAGACAGATTGCTTACAATATTATTACCTAAATTACAGTTAAAATAGTAAGGATATGCATAAGGGTCAACAAAACCTTTAAAAATAACAGGTTGTAACTGATAAATTGTTGTATTCTTAGGCCAATATGTAAAACTCAATCCAGTTATTGGGGGGTAAACAAATACATTTATTGTGACTGTCGACATTATAATATTGTTTACTTTTGCAACAATATCAATAAAATATATCCCATAATATAAAAAATAAACTGTGTGACAATCATTTATTAAATAAGAAGCATTTTTTCCAAATTGAGAAAGACTGTAAAACTGTTGATTGGTACCATTTAATAACAGCATAACAGAAGTATTTTTAGATGACCATATTATGTCAGACATTGCTACATTTTCAATAGTAATGCACAAAAAATATTCTTTGGTAGCAACAGCATACTTTGTACTGTTAGCAGTGAGTATTGAAACATGATGAGATTTGACTGCCACAGTTTGTTGATTCGAAAACTTTGAATTTCCAAACATGTCTGACACAAAAAAGTATATACTATGATAGCCTGCAAGTTTGAATTGGTAATCAACATAGACATATGATAAAGTTGAAACAAAAATTCTTGCTTGAAATGTAAAATTTTCAAGTTTGTAAGTTACTGTTAATAGATTATCATAGGCACCCACATTAAAAAAAAAAATTGAATCGCTCTCGGAATTAATTAGTTGAAGAGCCTGAATGTCAGTCGTCCAAAAGCCAATCAAAGAGTTTTTTAAAATGACCATTTGACTCTTAAGCTTTATAACATTGTAACCATGCGTTAAACTTAAATTAAAACTTTGAGTAACAATATAAACCTGGGAGTTGTTTTGATATACCTAAATATAAATTTTTTTTTCAATCAGTTTTGTGTTGACCTCCATATACAAGCAAGTTATGAAGTAAAGAAAAAAAATATTTAATAAACAAAAATAAAAAATATCATAACGTTGAAAACAAAAAAAACAAAACAAAAAAAACCTGTAGAATCAATGAACTATTCTTAATTGAATATAACTCAATACCAATTATGTAACTATCGTAATTAAAAACGGTTTGAGAAAACAAGTACACACCAGCAGCTGATAAAATTGGAGACATCAATTCTAATATGCTAGATGTATTATTTCCACAATTATAGAAGCAAGGAGAACTTTTCAACAAAACCTGGGAAGCTAAAAAAAATAATAAAACTTTACTAATTAAATTTTTGTTTGTTTTTAAATTATAATATATTTGTTGCCACAATAATATAAATAAAAATTTTGCTTTTTATAATAACTTATTATAACATAATTTAAGTATGTAATGACAATAAAAATTTTTTTAAAGAAATTAAAATTATTTAGAAAAAAAATCATAAATTTTATAAAAAAATTATAAAGTTTTAAAAATTATAAAAAAACACTAATAGTTTAGATGCATCAAGTTTGTGGTTTTGAAATAATAAATATTTTTCCATTTTGTATGTCTATCATTACCTAGTAAAAAGCTATTTACAATATTCATAACTGACTCTTCAAGGATATAAATAATGATATCCAACACCTTGAGAGCTAAAACATCCCTCAAATACCTATAATCTTTCCTTAATTTTAAACAATCTGTTACACAAATCATAAATCAAACTTTTCATGAGACATTCTTTTGACTGTTTGTTAGACTGTTTCAAAATTACATTCATCTCTCTAAACAATTTTTTTGTCCTTCTATTCTTTCCAAGAAGAGTAGCAATTTTGAAGTTATTCATTTTTTCAGCTGAAAAAATGCCTTTTAAATTAATATTTTTTTTACTGTTTTCACCTTCCCAAGTTCGCAGGGACAACTACAGTCAAAGAGCATACCCTTATTGCTCTTTTTTAAAAAAATTTTAATTGTTGTTACAGTCCTCTCTCAACTCACCATTTTATTCCAATTAAAAAATGCACTTTTTTAAAAAAATTATTAATCAACAAACTGATGTTCAGACATTTAACTTTGTGCAGATACCAAATGAGTTGGTTGTGCAACAAGTTATTTGTAAACACATGAATTATGTAGCTTGCAAGTATGAACTTTTTGTGGATTAGAATTATAACCAAGAAAGATGAAAGAGACAAAAATTATAAAATTCAATTTATGCATCCACACGATCCTAATCTAAGTTTTTTTTGGTCCACAAAAGAAGATATGTGTTGTTTGTCATCAAATAATGTTTTATGTACCATATACAAAAAACAGTTTTGTAAACAAAATTGAGTTGATTAACAAAATAAATAAGATTTAAAAATTTGTAAAGCATTGTTATTTTTTAATTTTTTATGTTACCTTTTTGAATATATTTAAAAATAAAATGTATGTATGTATAATCATATAGTATAATATAGAGTTCAAAATATAATTCACAAAAAAAATATCTGAGCCACTAGGAGTTTAAAACAAAAAAATATATATTTGAGAAATGGATTTGGAAAAATGTACCATCAAACCCCTTCCTTGACCTTGATCCAACACCAAGAACCATAAAATTAGCATTAATGTATAAATCTAATATTGACCATAAAAGGACTTCAAAAATAACTCAAACTTTCTCAGACTCCAAATAACTCAAACTCAGGTTTTCCGAACTTCTATAAGCTTTATAACATTAAATATCAAAAGTAATATGATAACATTAAATATCAAAAGTAATATGATAACATTAAATATCAAAAGTAATATGAAAATTTGTTTTTCCTTTCAGTGATGGTGAGCTAATTTACGAATGTTAAAATTAATTTGAAGGTAATTTTTCATTTAAATACTTACTAATGCTTTCAAGTTTGCTCATATAACTATTTATGCTTTCAAGTTTATTGAATTAGCAATTTCATAAATTGATTCAATTATTTTCAGTGAGAAATTTACCAGCAGTTTAGGAATCCATTTAGTTAATTGTTACTAACAGATTATATATGACCATGTATGTAACTAAAATACTATTTATATATATAATTATCTAAATGTAAATAATGTTAAATCAAATCAAATATATTTTGAAATAAGTTGTAATATTTTAAGGAAATGGAATACACATTAGACCTTCTGAGTTTCATAAATTTTATTTAGTGTCAGACTGGATTTAAAGATAATCAGCTCTGCTTTAATAGAATTACGAGAAAGTTTATTAGAACAAAGCCATTGAATAAGATTTCCAAGATCATGATTAATTTTTTTTTTAATTTTTCAAGTGATTTGTCAACCAGTAGCATGTTAGTATCATCAGCAAAATGGTAAGCAGTTACAAATCTAACTATTACAAATCAATCTAATGTTAATATAATGTTATATTGACAAAGTTATAAATAACCCAACTTTTAACACTGAAACAAAAACCTGCAAAAAAAAATTTAGTTTTTTTCATTATTTTACTACTTTGTCTAGAAAACTGTCTGGATTAAAGTTAACATTTAAAAAATTAAATTTTGCAAAATATTAGAACAGTACCAACCTAAATCCACAAAAGTAAGCGTACATTAGGGTGTTGTGAAATTTTATTTTTTAAAATTCCGTTACACCACTAGGTTTGTCTATATAATAAAATTAAAGTATATACTATGATACGGGATTTACAGTATATAATTATTATTAAATTACTATTTTTTTCATAATATAATAACTATTTTTGAAATAAAGTTTCAAAAATAGTAATTGTATTATAAAAAAAATTATTATAAAATTTGAAATTTTTATAACTAAATTTTTAAAATTTTTATTTTAAAATTCAACCTCTTTTGTGTACTAGGTTGATATACTTTTGAAGAAATTATTTTCGGACAATATTATTTAGAGCAATTAGATATTCAAGGGTCAGTTGGGACCCCTAAATATATTTTTCATTTTAAAATTTAAAGTATTCTTTTATAATATAGTTTAAATCAAAGGGTGTAATAGGAGAAACTTTCATAAAAAGTAACTTTCATCTTGCCCTAATGTACATTTGTATAATTAATTTTAAAAAGTTTACTGATTTTATTAGAACTAAAATCAGTAAATTTATTGTCTATATCTATATAGGTTTAATATATAATGCAAATCTTGTAAAGATTGCCAATAAATTTGCACTTTTTAAAATAACTTGTCATAATTGATTTGTTTTTTTTTCTTTGTTTTTCTGATTATTGTTTTTACCTATCTTTAATAAGAAGACAGATGATATGCTAATAATATAAAAATGTTGTGTAACTAAATTTTGAAATAAAATTAACCACAAAAAAAAATTCCTCACATGCAACTTTATATACAACATTTTCTTCTTCATTAAAAAACCATTCAAAAACCATTCCGATTCCACTCTCTACTCGTGCATAGCAACTAAACTGTTGATTGTAACTTTCATCAAGAATCAACAATTCTTGACTGCATGAATCTAAATGTACTTCTCCCAAAGGAATTTGAACATAAACATAGGTATTAACTGTAAAATTAGCAAACATAGAACTATTTACAGAAATTTTAATGTTATATTGCCCAGGATATGTAAACACATGACTAGAATATGTGCTTCTTTGAACAACAGAAAAGTTATCTCCATAGTTATAATTATAGATACTGTTTGAATCACCAAGAAGTAACAAAGATAATTCATCAAATACATAGATAGATTTTTGGGGTAAAACTTGAAGAAAATTTTCTGTGAAGTTGCTATAATACCACTCAGAAACATTAAATACCACAGAGTCTTCATTGTAACAAAGTGGAGAAGATGCATTTGGTACCACAGTATTTTTGTCACATGAAATATCAGAACATGAATAATTTGTGTATAATAAACTGTCAAGAAATGTCCAATTAAAATTTTCAATGCAAAAACAAGCCTTGTTGAAGGTAAGACACGCATAGCTGCATTTAAGATTTTGAGTTGATGGACTGTCTTTAATCAAATGTCCTTGAACACAAACCAAATATGACAAATCTAAACATTTGTGAATAATTTATGAAAAATATATAAGTAAAACAAAAATCTTTTGATAGCTTTTACATTTATACATCAATGAAATAAAAAAATGTTATAAAAATATTGAGCTAATTTCAGTCTAGTTAATAAAAAATTATATCATTTTTAAATTAACAAACAGAAAAAAAAAATACAATTAAATAAACTTTGAAAGAGTTCAAATCCCTAAATAAATAATAAGTAAACTACTAATAAATAATTAACTATTCCTAACTAATATATATAACAAAAGAAGATTAAATGCAAAAAGCAAATTTAAAAGTCTTTACTAAACCCTAATTTTAGTTGATAAAAAATGTTTTATTTACTTAATTTTATCACATAATACAATAAATTTTTTAGAAACTTGTTTTCAAAATATTTGATAAAAAACAAATTTTTTTTAATTTTTATTAATTTGAATAAATCAAACTTTCTAATTTCTACATGTTTAATTAATATTTTAATTGGCTTAACCAATTAATTAAAAACTAAACCACTTTTTACTGAAGTTCAACTAAAACTTTTAAATAAACAATTGTTACATTAAAAGAAAAATTTATATAAAAGTTACTGCTAAAAAAAAATCTCCAAGACACAAGATTATCTAAGAAGCAACCTCAAAACTAGTACCTTAGTATCAACATTGAAACTTAGCAGCAACAAAAATCTGCAGTAATAAGTAAACATTTGCAAAATTTCTGTTAAAAAATCTTATCAACAGATTTTTAATATATCTTGTGTTTAATTTTGCAAAATAAGGCTGCAATATCCTAAAATTTTTAATGATTTTATGAATGAAAGGATAAGTGTGCATGTACAAAACCCAAAAATGTCGTTCATTATGTGTAGCATTACTTATTATTTTTGACATTATAACAATAGATTACTTATTATTATAACAATATGACATTATAACAATAAATTACTTATTATTTATGACATTATAACAATAGCTAGAAAAATTTAGAACTTCTAAAGTGTTTCTTTTTAAGTAATTGCAACTAAATCAAAAAACTTCATATTCTCGTTTCGAAATTAGAATGTAGCAATCAGCATTTTCAAAAGTGGTTTGTAAATGAATTGACACCTCAAGTGATGAATCAATGGTTAGTGCATAAAAATTTAGAGCCATTCTAAAATGTTTGAAAAACGCAATAATTTTAGAATGTAGGTAAATTTTTTCTTCATTAACAAATATAAATGGTTCAAAATAAATACTTGAAAATTCAGAGTTAAATCCTATAGGAATGTTGGTGAAAATGCTATTAGACCTAATGTTTTGGAAGGACTTAATTTAGATATAAAAGGTGAAATTTCAATTTAATTTTTAAAGTAAAAACTATAAAAAACAAGATGTTTGAGAATTTTTTTTATAACAATAATAAGATGAATAACTAACAATTAAAGAGATAAAAGACAAGGTTTTTTCAGTAAAAGCAAAAATTTTGCTTCGAGATTTTTAGATATAAGTTTAAGATATATATATATATATATACATATATATATATATATATATATATATATATATATATATATATATATATATATATATATATATATATATATTTAAACATCTTCACTTCCCAACAAGGCTACAAGCAACCACTATTAGAGTTTAGAAGTTATTGAGAGAGAAAAGATGAAGTTTTTAAAACAAGATAATGATTAACAGACAACTTAAAAGATTGCAAACTATATGAATCAGGAAAACAAGAAGGGAGCGAATTCCAAAGAAGTGATGTTCGAGAAAAAAAACTAGACAAATAAGAATTTTTGGAGCATTTAGAAACAGTTACAGTAAAAGGATGAGACATAAGTGACAAGTAACACCAGAATGAATTTTAGTAGATGGCACAAGAGAAGCTAGCTTTTTAGAGCAGCACCCATTTTAGTATTTATAGAAAAGAGAAATAGAAGCAACATTACAATGATGTGAAGGTTGGCTGCAAGAGCAGCCAAAAGCAAAATTTTTGCTTTTACTGAAAAAACCTTGTCTTTTATCTCTTTAATTGTTAGTTATCCATCTTATTATTGTTATAAAAAAAAAATCTCAAACATCTTGTTTTTTAAATAAAGAGATGCAACCTTAGCAGATGTTGATTTTGCAATAGATTTGATATTTAGTTTCCAAGAAAGATTAGAAGTAAGAGTTAATCCTAGAAGATGAAGAGCAGATAACTTATCAAATACATTACCATATATAAATATAGGAAGATCGAGATTGTCAAGATAACGATTAGATGAAAAAAATTGAGTTTTATCTGAGTTAAAGTTCACCAGCCACTGAGAACCCTATGCTGTAGCAGAAGTGAGATCCTTTTCAAGCTCAAATGTTCCCTCCAAGCAATCATACAGTGTTGGCTTCTTATCAAGATTTTAATAAATGTAATATCAGCGAACAATGTCACCTTAGATGTGAGAATTTCTGGGATATTGTAAATGTAAATTAAAAAGAGTATAGGACCAAGGATAAAACCTTGATGAACCCCTGAAGTTACAGGAAATGAACTTTTATACTATTATTGGTAAGAAAGGATTCAATAATCTTAAAGATGTTACCTGATACACCGTAAGAAGATACACCGTAAGCTTATGGAGAAGACCGTAATACACCGTAAGCTTATGGAGAAGACCATCATACCAAACTTTATCAATGGCTTTAGAAATATCAAGAGCAATAACCTTAACATCTCCACATCTATCTAATGCACAATAAAACTTATCGGTTATTACCGTTAACAAATTAGCAGTAAAATGAGAAAATTGAAATCCATATTGAGGATTGAAACGTAAGTTATTAGATTCAAGATGAGACAATTGTTTGTTAATTAAAGACTCAAAAACCTGGCTTATGAAAGTAAAAAGACTTTAGACAGTAGTTAGACGAGTCAGATAGATCTCCTGAATTTTTGTAAATAGGGTTAATGGATTTCCAGCAGGCTGGAAAACAAGATTTGATAAGCAATTGTTAAATAATTTTAAAAGTATAGTCGACAGCTCCAGAAAACACTTCTGCAAAACTATAACAAATATGTTATCCGGACAACAAGCTGTAGAAGAGTCTATATAAATATTATATATATATATATATATATATATATATATATATATATATATATATATATATATATATATATATATATATATATATATATATCGCAGAATATGCATAGGTCTGTCTACATGCACACCTATTTATTAGGCTTCAGCCAAAAATTGTTGTAAAGGTATGCAAATATATAATAATTAATCTGCTCAAAACTAAATAGAAATATTTACCATTAGTTAATTAACATGTAAGAATTATATTTCTTAAAATTACAATGTTAACAGCTATACATAATACTACTTAAATAAGATTATTGTTCATAATTACATACTACATTAATTTATTCTCATAATCATAAATTTTAAATTTTAAGAATGGGTTGCAAGTTTGGCAGTTAACTCTTTCCTATGTTGCTCCCATAGTTCAATTGCTTTATCAACAACAGTTTGACCACATTGTTGAGGTAAAACTCTATTTACATGTTTTAATGCTGCATCACAATTAAGTTCCTTTAATTGAATTGAGTAAGTCAATAACAGCGAAACACAAACAAAGACTAAAATGTGGCAAGAACCAGCTATAAGTTTGTCCCAGATTTTGCACAGACATTCAGAAGATTCAGCAAATACAGAAGCAAAATATGTTTGAAACCATTTGTCATAAGGCAACATTTTAAAAAGTTGTATTTCAGATAAGTGCTGGAATAAACGTTGATCTTCTACCTGAAGATAATAATTTACATAATATGGAAGTTTTGCAAAAACAGAAAGAAACATTTCTTGTGCATGAAATATTTCTTTGGCAATCCAAAAAGTGTCAGTTTCATTCTGTGTTAATTGAAAAGTAATTTCACTAATTGAGTCTAATATATAGACTTTCATAGCATAATGTTTTACATGAGTGTTATGTAGTATGCTTAAATTGCCGTGTTCAAGCAAAATGGCTAAAACAGCAGTCTTAGGTGAGTGTGAACATGGTGAAACCATTTTCATTGTAATCAATGCTTGCTTTAAATCTAGAAACTGTTGGTTTCTGTGATTAGTAACAAAGTCTACTGACTCTTTATAAACTGGAATTATTCCAAGTAAAACTTTCCAAACATAAACTCTATATACAGATGGTAGTAAATACTGTTGTGTAAACGTTTTTATTTTATCAACATCTAAAGGGTCTTCTTTCAAAAGATGTTCTAATGCTTTCATTTGATCAACATTTCGCAAACCAAGTTGTTCGTAATATAGCATTCGAAAATTACGGAAGTCTGATGGATTTTCTTTATTAGACATTGCCAATGAATTTTCGAATGTGTGGCATTAATTTTACTAGATAATAAAAAATTTATTTAAATTATTACATAGTTGCAAGAAAAGACAAATAACATTGTCGGTATTATAAAAATATGCAAAGATAGCTTTCTCTAAGTAACAAACTAAGAAAGATTGTAATTAATTTTTTACAAGCCTGGAAAATTGCATCATGATTTTTTTTTTTTTAGTGTGTGTGTGTAGTTTGTAGAGAGTTTGATTTTTATTATGTTCATATATGACAAACATTTTAAATAGTCTATACAGGTTGCTTTATTCAATCATATTATATTTTTATAAACATCAAACCCATATTGGGAATGTAAATACAAAATGAGGTCTTACTAAGGATGTAAATAACAATCTTAAATTTCCTTTATTTAAAGACTTAAAATAGTGTTCAATTAGTTGTTTTTTGTTTTGTTTTTTGTTGTTGTTGTTTTTTTTTCTTTGTTTTTTTCTTCTTTTTTTTTTGTTTTTTGTTTTTTGTTTTATATTTATGTATTTTCTATAAATACTATAATTGTGCCATATGATTTATCTATCAGAATTTTATATCAAAATGTATAAAAATAATAATTTTAAAATTTTAAATATAATATTTATTTTATATTTATAAATTTTTACTTTTATAGGAAATAATAGGAACAATGCAATATGTACTACTAATAATTTTATAATGGAAACATTATATTAACTATAACATAGTTATTGTTATAGTTATATAATCTATATGATAATTATCATATCATAAATTAAATGCATATCCTATTAAATATGTAATATTATATGCAATATTTATTTATCTACTATGCTTTTTTACAATTTTTTTTTTAAATCTCTACGGACGAGAGCGTAAAAAGAAAATTTATTTGGCGCTGCTTAACCATTTACTAAGTGAATTCCCGGTTCAGCAAAAAACGTTCATAACGAATATATTACCAGTTTCTATTACCAAAATTTAGCTATCAGAAAAAAGATTTAATAAAAACGATTTTTTTATATATTTAATATACTTATTACTAAATATTATTATTTTATATTAATAATTAAATTAATGCTATAAAATTTTTGATAAAATATAAGTTTAATTATTAAAAAAAAGGTTTTTAAATGTAACTTTCTCTGGCGCGTACCCAGCATTTTTTGATGTTTCAGACAGGACACTTTCACTCATGGTGCAAACTCCAAACTTAAGTATGCTCATACCTATGCCAAATGAGGAAGTCTTGCAAAAATTTGGGACGGCGGAGGCCTGGGAACAAAAAACCCCTAAAACGTTCCCCCCCCCCTCCCCTGACCAAACATGAGGGCACTGATAAAGTAAAATTTTCAACTTTACTATCTTAAACTAAACTTAAATTTATCGACAGATTTTAAATTTCATAAAAAAATATTGTAAATTGCAAAGTTATGACCATGCAAAACTTACACCCCCCTCATTTGAGGGGGTTGAAAATTTTGTCAAATGCTAAAATATAAACATTAATTAACAAAAAAGTGATAAATGTTTCAGTGAAACAAGTTATTATTATATTTACGCAGTAAATTCAAAAGATGACATTGAAAAAAGCAACTCAATGACTTCCTTATTATTTGGTAATAAAATTGCGTCTAATTGCTAACGATCTTTCATTAAAACTATAAAAATATTGCTTTTAACAATATTTTTTAATGATTTATTTTGTAACAGTTTTATTATAGTACTATTTTACGTTTAATAGCAATCTATGCTAATCAGATCTAATACAACCAGGGCCAAAAATAGGGAGTGGGTGGGGTGTATCCCCCTCCCCCTCATCCCTTTCTCCACCCCCACTCCACAAACATTAAATCCTAGTCGGCAAAAATTGACTTGAGTGACCTTAGTAGGCAATTCAAAATGAATTTCTTTCAGAAATAGTATTTTATACATTACTTTTATAATAATGGTTTAAAACCGCTTCAATTATGTAATGTTGGTCCGTACCTAACAACATTCTATAGGCACTTTAGTAAGTAAAATTTTGCAAAAATTGAATAAATAAGCGTTTAAAACAAATGATTGAATTACATTTAAACCCGGTTTGAAGTAAAGTTTAATCAGATAAAAATGCGGCTACGTTGTCCGTTTCTAGTTATTTATTGGTTTATTAAAGTTGTAACTATATTTATGCCACATTTAGTTACAACTTTTAACTTATATATTCTGTCAGTTAATTAAATCATCAGAAATAAGTTTAGCAAACGTATAATAAATGGAGCACTCAAATAAAAGAAAATTTCGTGGAGGTGCAGAAAAACAAAGAGGGCGGAACAAAATAATGTTGATCAATGAAGCAATACAATGTCCCAAAATTAATGAGATGTTTAAAACATTAAGTTCACCTATTTAATATGCCGAGGTAATTAATTGTTTTACTAATTAATACTCTTGGTTGTTATAACTTATAAGTTATGATTTTCTTACATATTTATATTTTTTAACTAATGACAGCAAAATACCTATTTGATTCTAAATAGGTTTATGACCTATAGGTTTTCTATTTTAATTCTTAAAAGCTTAATGACCCATACGATTCAAAAAAGTTCAAATCTACTTCAAATTTTGAAGTAGATGATACTTTAAATGCGACCAAAGAATATCTTAGTTAAATAAAATAGTTTGTTTTTTATTGTTTATTTTTATTACATTTTTTATGTAAAATTTAAGAATGAATGCGTTGAAATGCGCGAGACGCTTAAAAACAGGGTCTTTTTCTTGGATCTTAATGAAGTAATTATAAATAAAGACATTTTAGAAGAATTAACACACGACAACATTATTGATAAAGTTGTAAAACATAGTTCTTTACTAAAAAAAAGTTTTAATAATTTAGATGATTATACCTCATTAGTTATTAAACATAATGGTTTCTTTATTTGTATTATTTTATTAATGTGTTACAGGGTTCCCACTCTTCATTAAAAACCTTAAATAGTTAAAACCTCCTTTAAACGGACTTTTTTTATTATTATTATTATTGTAAAGTTAATTTTTGGAAATAATACAATCGAATATTTTTTTTGGTTTGATTTACTGTAAAAAAAGAGAAGTAAGTAATGTCAATTAAAAAATGTGCTAATATATGGAAATGGTTCTCAAGTTGTAAAGTACATCAAGCTAAAAGTTTTATTGTTAACATATAGTTAATTTCATTTGTATTATATTTTAATATTAGCGATCTACTGAGATTTATGTTAAACATACAATTTTGAAAAACTTTGCTATATCTCTAATAAAATAAAAATATCCGCGGAAGAGAGCCAATAAACTTCTTTTGGTTACTATTTCAATTCTGAATGACGTCCTTTATGGACGACGCCCTAACACTTAGTTTTTACCTATATGCTACAACAAAGTTTTATAATTTTTTTTATTTGTTATTTTTTGAGCGAAATGAACAAAAGGAAATCTTAAAAATTGATTAACTTTTAGGGACCTCGCAATTCTCAAGGGAGTTCAACGGACACTATTACTACTTTTGAGCAGCCTAATCAACCTAGAAATTTCTTCTACCCAACAAGTACGTTTGAAAATGATCCGAAGAAAAGATCATTTAACTAATCCTGGTTCGATCGGTTCCCATGGCTACACTACAACCAAAAAAAAAGATGCTGCTTTCTGCTTTACCCGCACTGCTGCTTTAAGGAAAATATGATATCATCAACAAAAGTTGAATACGTTTTTACCTACAGCAGCTATCGAAACTGAAAAAAAATTACTTGAATCTGGCAGAGGATTTTCAAAGCACGAGTGTTGTGAGGCTTATAAAGATGCAACCAAACGTTTGATTACAGCACCTAAAACATTTACGGATATTGGAAAACTTCTCGACACCAATTTGGCTAAAAATAAAAAAACTAATTGAAAAATTATATTAAAATTTGTTCAAAACATTAGGTATTTGGCCCGACTATCTTTGCCACTTAGAGGAAACTGAAGCAATAAAAAAAAATGAAAAATCAACTCCAACTTTTACCAGTTACTTTTACTTCGTAGCAACGATGACAAAAAACTGACCTTTTGGCTTCAAAAGAAAACAAATCGTTTTGTTTCACCAGCAATACAAAATGAAATACTAGAAACTATAGCACAGCAGGTTTTGCGTAACATTGTCAAAACATACAATCTGCAGTTTTCTTAGCCATTCATTTAGATGAAACAAGCGATTTTTCCGATACGGAACGGCTGGTTTTGTCTTCGATGGTCAATGATGATTTACAAGCACACGAAAAATTCATTAATCTGTATCCGTTACCAAATACAACTTCCAAAGAAATTGTACGTGTTCTAAAAGATATTCTCTTGAGCGTGAAAAAAAAGGTATTGAACAAAAAGTGCTTATTTAAGTCTCAACGAAAGCTTTGGAACAGCATATGAAATTTGCAAACTTATCAAAAAATCACCTAAAAGAAATTCCAAACTTGATGCTACTCGAGAACTATCAGAGAACAATTTAAAATCTATCTATTTTATCCAACAAGATGGACAGTGCTTGGCGATGTTCTTGAATCATTTCTAGAAAACTATCGCGAACTCATGGAACTATAGAGATGGTCATTGCAAAAGTTGAGTGATACCGAAATGAGAGCAAGAATTCAGGGAGTGAAGTTTGTAATGTCGACATTTAACTTTATCATTTGTTGCTATTTAGGGAAATGCCTTCTGAAACAAACAGACAATCTAAGTAAGTCACTCCAAGGTCAAAGTATTTCGGCAGCGGAAGGACAGAATTTAGCATCTCAAGTCGTTAATGTTCTGGAAAAATCCTGACGCAGCGAAATTAACGAACTTTTTGGGAACGCGCTATGAAATGGAAAACACAGCTTGGTGTCGCTGATCATAAACTCTCGAGAAAAAGGAAAATGCCAGATTATTTAAAAATAACTCTTAACCCACGAAAAATCTATCATTTCCATGATTCACCAAAAGAACATTATCACCAATTGTATTTTGAAGCTTTCAAACTTATTATCAGTTTTATAAAAAAGATTGATCTACAGGAAGTTTAATTTTAAAGTAAGC